GCGGGAGGGATAGGGGGTGCCCGGCGGCGGTGGCCGCGGGTGCAGCAGGATCCTCCCCATCCGCCTCACCCCCTCTCTCCGCAGGGACCGAGGGGCGAGCGCGGGCTCCCGGGCAGCGCCGGCGAGAAGGGGGACCAGGTGAGCATCCCCGAGGGGTCTGTGGGGACAGGGATCCCCTGGACCCCCATCGGGCAGGATGTGGCCGTCGGGGTCTGGCTCAGCTCTCGTCTCTCCGCAGGGTTTCCAGGGCCAGCCCGGCTTCCCGGGGCCACCGGTGAGTGTGTCCTGCCAGGGCTGTGGGGAGCGATGCTCTGGCACAGCGGGGTGTCCCCAGGAGATGATGCTCAGCCCTGGCTGTGTCCCCGTGTCCCCACGGGGTCGGGCAGCCATCCGGGGATGGGGGTTTCTCCCAGGGGGACACAGGCATGTCCTGTAGGACAAGGTGTGGAGAGAGCAGCCCCAGAGCAACCCCGTAAAACGGGCTTGGAGGTGGCAGGACGTGTGGGGTTGGGCTCTCCCACCATGATGCCCCCCAACCTCACTCAGCACTCCTCTCCTCTTTAGGGACCCCCCGGCTTCCCAGGGAAGGTTGGTCCAGCTGGGCCACCGGGGCCCGCAGCCGAGAAGGTGAGTGCTGTGGGTGAGTGGCTGCGTGGTGGCACCGCTCATCCCTTGGGCTGGTAGCCAAGTGCTCTGCGGGGTGGCCGAGGGGTGCACAGCCCTGGCTGCTCCCATGACCTCCTTGTGGCTCTTGCAGGGCAGTGAGGGCATGCGTGGCCCCACGGGGATGCCAGGGCCACCCGGACCACCCGGACCCCCAGGCATCCTGGTAAGACCCCCGCCATGCCACCCCTGAAGGCAGAGGGGGCAGCACCACTGGTATCATGGTGCTCCTGGGGAGCACCACTGGCCGGACCCATTCCAGCCTGGCACTGCAGGATGGGGTCCCCACCAGAGACCGGGGTCGGGGTCACCTTCCTCAGTCTGCTCGTGGGAGCTGAGACCCCCCCCCAGCTCTTTTCTCCCTCCAGGGCTTCAAGGGGAAGACGGGACACCCGGGTCTCCCAGGACCAAAGGTGAGCGACGGTGGCACTGGGGGACACTCGGTGGTGACAGCCCCGAGGACGTCAGTCCTGGGCCAGGGTCTCCACACACTGTGCTGCCCACGGTGTCCCTCCTTTTAGGGTGACTGCGGCAAACCCGGTCCCCCGGGGAGCACGGGCCGGCCGGGAGCGGAGGTGAGCGAGGGGGTGGGTGGGCACGGGACCACTGAGCTGGATGTGCCCTATGCCACCCCTCACC